AATGACAAACCTAGACAGCATCTTAAAAAGCAGAGACATCACCTTGCCAACAAAGTTCCGTATAGTTAAAGCTATGGTTTTCCCAGTAGTGATGGATGGAAGTGAGAGCTGGACCATAAAGAAGGCTGGTCGCCGAAGAATGGATGCTTTTGAATTATGGTGCTGGAGGAGACTCTTGAGAGTCCCATGGACTGCAAGAAGATCAAACCTCTCCATTTTGAAGTAAATCAGCCCTGAATGCTCACTGGAAGGACAGATCCTGAAGCTGAGGCTCCAATACTTTGGCCACCTCATGAGAAGAGAAGACTCCCTGGAAAAGACCCTGATGATGGGAAAGATCACAAGGAGAAGGGGACGGCAAAGGACGAGATGGTTGGACAGTGTTCTCGAAGCTACCAGTATGAGTTTGACCAAACTGCGGGAGGCAGTGGAAGACAGGAGTGCTTGGAGTGCTCTGGTCCATGGGGTCAGGAAGAGTCGGACACGACTAAACAACTAAACAACAACAACAAAGTCAAAAACGGACAGGGGTGGAGGCCAAGAGGTTTCTCTCCAGATGTTATTGAACTTTAATTTCTAGAAGGAAAACTCTGATCCGAAACCTCTGCTGCCTTGCAGGACATCTTCAGAAGAAGAAACAGGTGAACCCTACACAAATCCAGAGTGGAATCCCTAAGACGGTTGGATGGTGTCTTGCACGCCTCCCTCCGTCAACTCCTGCAGCCAAGCTGGTGCCAAACATATTCCTTTCCTTTCCTTTGGACCACATCAACAAGGCTGAGAATCTGTTGTCTGGGCAGCTCAGGACCTCCACACACACTGCCCAACCTTGCGCCCCAGGGAGGTCACTTGGGGGTAGCTAACAGAGGGATCTGAGTTCACCCCCACACTCCATGTCTCTTATAAATAATAATAAATTTTTATTTATACCCCGCCCTTCCCGGTTCAGGAAACCGGGCTCAGGGCGGCTAGCAACAAATTTAAAACACTTAATTAATGCAACAAAAAAAGAGCATACAATACAGTATAAAATGTGAATAACAATAAATTTAGAATTCAAAAATCAATTTAGGGGGAAGTCCATCCAATAAACATTAGATGATCACCAGGGCTAGCTGGCTCAATTAGTCCTATTTGGGCCAGTGAAGAGACCAGGGGAGAATTAGCTGTGGGATCCCAGAGCGGGTAATCTTCATAAAAAGGGGAGGGGGGAGGGAAGGAAGGGGAATAAAAGATCAGGCTAAGTTCAAATTGAAAGCCAGGTGGAATAGCTCTGTCTTACAGGCCCTGCGGAAGGAAGTTAAATCCTGCAGGACCCTGGTCTCATGGGACAGAGCATTCCACCAGGTTGGAGCCATCACTGAGAAGGCCCTGGCCCTGGAGGAGGATAATCCAACTTCCTTAGGGCGTGGGACCTCTAAACTATGATTATGCACGGACCTTAAGGTCCTCTGTGGGGCATACCAGGAGAGGCGGTCCTGTAAATACAAGGGCCCTAAGCCAACAGCGGATGCCAAAAAGATCAGCGTTTAAAAGCTGTAGTTTGGCACAGGTGCTCACAAGCTTTGAAGTTACTCAGGACTCAAAACTTTGCATTCCCTTACCTAGAAACAATGGTCCGAGAAAAATGATATCTGACCTATTTTGTGTATGTCAAACTTCTGACACGTAGGTAACACCCCAGAGGGGGTCTAGGGGGTCGGTTGACAGTATGGCCTGTTGCTCCATCCAGAAATTCCCATTGTCGGGGCCCAGACAGCTATAAAGGACCCTGCCTTTAGACCCAAAATTTGGCTCATTTCTTCTGTTTGTATAAGGTGGAACTTTCTATCATTCTGGCAAACGTATGTGTTTGCCCATAAAAGGTAAAGGTACCCCTGCCCGTACGGGCCAGTCTTGACAGACTCTGGGGTTGTGCGCCCATCTCACTTAAGAGGCCGGGGGCCAGCGCTGTCCGGAGACACTTCCGGGTCACGTGGCCAGCGTGACATCGCTGCTCTGGCGAGCCAGCGCAGCACACGGAAACCCCGTTTACCTTCCCGCTAGAAAGCGGTCCCTATTTATCTACTTGCACCCGGGGGTGCTTTCGAACTGCTAGGTTGGCAGGCGCTGGGACCGAACGACGGGAGCGCACCCCGCCGCGGGGATTCGAACCGCTGACCTTTTGATCGGCAAGCCCTAGGCGCTGAGGCTTTTACCCACAGCGCCACCCGCGTCCCTTGTGTTTGCCCATAGGATGCCTCAAAACATGCATTTGCTTCAAGGATGGGGAGGAAGTGCAGATATCTCTCAGATCAGCTGGTGTGGGGGGCTTGCTGAACCCCCCTCACAGCCACCAGTTCTCCCCTGTAAACAGATTCCTCGCTCACCACCCCCAGTCGGCTCGTTCCAAGTTACAGAGCACAGTATATAGCGTATTTTGCGCTCCATAAGACGCACCCGACCATAAGACGCACCTAGTTTTCAGAGGAGGAAAACAAGAAAAAAAATATTCTGAACAAAGCAGTGGATGTATGATTTTTGTGGTTCATGCTGTGGCCACAGACATGATATGTGATTTGACGGTGAGTTTGGGGCAGCCCAATGCAAAAATCCTGAGAACCCATGTGGATCCGTGCTTTGTAACCACGTTTTTGCGCCATTGTGGCCTCACGAAACAGTGGATGCGTGATTTTTTTGGTGCAGGCTGTAGCCATGGACATGTTATGTGATCTGATGGTGAATTTGGGGTAGCCCAGTGCAAAAATCCTGAGGATCCATGTGCTTTTACCTCCCCCCTCCCAGGCAGCCTCCTTTATCACTAGCGTCCCTTATCTCCCTCCTGATCACTTGCCAATCAGCTGCTCAGTGGCTTTGTTTCAACACCCCCTTCCCTCTTGTTTGCCTTAGCGTCTTTTCCTTAGCTGGAGCAGTTTTTTGCTCCTCCTTTTCTTCTAGTTTCTCTCCTCATTGCATGTTTGAGTATTCCTGTCGCCCTCCCAGGCAGCCTCCTTTATCACTAGCATCCCTTATCTCCCTGCTGATCAGCTGCTGGGCGGCTTTCGTTTCAACACACCCAACCCTCTTTCTCCAAAAAAAAAAAAAAGCATGATCTGCTTTTTGCCCCTGGGCAATTTGGCTCCAGGGACCACACAATCACTCCATCAGAAGCACAGACATTTCCCCTTACTTTTTAGGAGGAAGAAAGTACATCTTATGGAGTGAAAAATACAGTATTTGAAGGAGGGGGTCCTTTTCAAGAAAGCACAGCCAGAGAGGGAGCTGCATTTGTGCAGGATGGAACTGGCATGCCTTTGCATTTGCTTACTCCTACATTAGCATTACAAGGGACTGGGAACCTGGTGTTTGCTTTGTAGCATCTAACATGCCTTCCCTGTGTGAAGAGCACTGCTTGCTCGGGACACGGCAGTCATCTCTGAAACCATAACTTACTAACCACAACTAGATACAAAAGTACAAGTTCGTCTCACTTCCTGATGCTGCTAGCTCTATATACAATGGTACCTCGGGTTACATAGGCTTCAGGTTACAGACTCTGCTAACCCAGAAATATTACCTCGGGTTAAGAACTTTGAATTAAAGTGAAACTAAATATACAGCCTTGCCTGCGCTGATGCTCTGTGTTATGTTCTCACCCTGGCCACCAGGGGTATTGTGTACAGTGGTACCTCGGGTTACATACGCTTCAGGTTACAGACTCCGCTAACCCAGAAATAGTGCTTCAGGTTAAGAACTTTGCTTCAGGAGGAGAACAGAAATTGTGCTCCGGCGGCGCAGCAGCAGCGGGAGGTGCATCAGGTTAGCTAAAGTGGTGCATCAGGTTAAGAACAGACCTCCAGAACAAATTAAGCACTTAACTCGAGGTACCACTGTAATCTATTTGCCTATGTGTATTGATAACAAGAAACTGTACAAGCTGTACTCAGGACCACCTTAATGTTAGGTTGGATGGAATTAGCTTCCAAGGAGCAATTTTGTTATGCTGGAGGAGATGGGGGTAAATAGGAGTCGAGAAATGCTGAAAGGGAGGGGAGAAGAAAAGCAAAGTAGGCAATAATTCAAAGAGAACAAGAACTGTTGGAAAACGCTATGGGGTGCCCCTGCAGCCCCCAAACTCCGAGCATCCTCTGGTATGCGCAGCTCTGGAAACGGCATTTCCCTTCTTCTCCAGTGCGCTTCAGTGACATATATCAAATGATATATGCACACTAATTTTCTAGCATAACACAACAAGAAGCATGAGACATCATAGAGCTAATCTACGTATTTATTTACACACTATATACAGACAAAGGAGTCATGGTGTCCTCTCTCTCCAGCTCTGAGAGAAGAACAGGAACAAGTAAAAGCAAAAGTACAGTACAATAGGACATACAGCGGAAGAGATATGACTGTCTTCCGTTCCCACACTCTTCCCAGACAGGCATGTGATTTACACCAATCTCATCTGGAGCATCATAGGCATGAAATACTAACACTTCTATTACATCTCCTGTCATATACAGTGGTACCTCGGGTTAAGTACTTAATTCGTTCCGGAGGTCCGTTCTTAACCTGAAACTGTTCTTAACCTAAAGCACCACTTTAACTAATGGGGCCTCCTGCCGCCGCCGGAGCACGATTTCTGTTCTCATCCTGAAGCAAAGTTCTTAACCCGAGGTAGTATTTCTGGGTTAGCGGAGTCTGTAACCTGAAGCGTCTGTAACCCGAGGTACAACTGTAGTTACATCTATTCTGCCTATGCCAACTTGATTTAGGAAGAAATACTCATCCAGAAATTTACCACACACAACACATACTATTCCCCTCCCCCCCAGTTTTCTCAACAATTTGTCACAGAAGGTGCAATCGGGAGTCATTTTTAAGAAGCCATTTTAGAGTTTTTCTAATTATGCCTATGTTTCCACCAGCACCATTTACTTCTCAGATCGGGAAGAGTCAAATGTGCTAACTATGTACCAAGGCATGTCCATGAGGTGTGTGTGTGTGTGTGTGTGTGTGTGTGTGTGTTTTATAACATGTCCCTTGTCCTTGGCATAACTGTTTCTCTCACAAGCGACTCTAGCACTTTCTTGTATGTGTCCAAAACAGTCTGAGCAGAAGGTCTTTCAGCTGGGCTCCTTTTGCAGGCCCCGTGGATGTCAAAGAGGTGGAACCTGACCAGATCACTCCCATCGACATCCCCCAAGATAAAATTGGAAACATCGGGGATTTTCCATATATCTGTCATTTCATCATAAGGAGGCATGAGGCTGTCTTCAAAGGCCATTTCATTTCCCCGAGGCCAAAGCTGTTCTGGAGCGACAAAGTCACCCTGAAGCTCCCGATGGCCACATTTGATCAGTCTGCCAGCATTCTTGTCTACAAGAGGCAAAGCATCCAAGTCATTCACAATAACATGGAAGCTGCTGGTCAGCAAGTACTGAGAAAGAACTTTATCCAAGTCGCTGGAGTCACACATCACAAGGGTGCCCAGGGGACTGTTGTGCAAGTAATGGAGGATGCTCACGTAATCGATGGCAAGCAGGAGCCTGATGTGCCATGTGTTGAAGCTCTTGTACTTTGGAAGGTTCAAGATCTCGTTCAGATTCTTCAGAGAGCCGAACGGGTGGTACTCCGTAAGAACGGTGAACTCCTCCTCACAATATCCAACCAGCTTGACCACATGTCTGCTTTGTAGAGATTTCAGCATCTGTAAGCCATGAATGAAGTCCTCTTGAAGTTCCGGCACAGTTAGCTGGGAAAGGGCCACTTTGTTTTCCTTCCACTCAGAAAGGAAGACCTAGAACAAGGAGAACAATGTTCAAACTTTGAGGTCCAAACTCTGAAATGCAGTTTGTAAAAGCCAAGCTGTTTTTCAATATGGGGGACAACAGTTTAGTCTTGACAAACGCAAATTCAAACCTATGTGTTAAACACACACACACACGGACAAAAAACATGAATAGATACAAGGTCTATGCCACAACAAAGCAAGTTATGTCACAGGAAATATCTGAAAATTGGTAATGTTTACAAATCCCAGAGTGTCTGGAAATAGAGAGGTGAATATGTACAGTCACTCAAACGTAACTGTGAGCATTCAGGTGTTGTGCTCCTGCAACATGAGGAAATACAGTGGTACCTTGGTTTGCATACGTCTTACAAACATGTCAAGCCCAGAAGTACGTGTCTCAGTTTGCAACCTTTTTTTGGATTACAACTCATTATTTTGGATTACGAACAAAAAATTTTGGAGACGCCATTGGCGAAAGCGCGCCTTCAGTGGCGTAGCGTGGGGGGTGCAGGGGGGGTCGGCGGCACCGGGTGCAACATCTGGGGGTTAGGGTTAGGGGGCACAAATCCACGGGTTAGGGGGCGCAAATTACTTGCCTTGCCCCGGGTGCTGACAACCCACGCTACGCCACTGCGCGCCTTGGGTTACAAGCTGCTTTGGTTTACAAACAGACCTCCGGAACAGATTATGGTTGTAAACCAAGGTACCACTGTCGATATATATTTCTAGACGTAGATTCAGCTGGGGTCGTCAGCATCCACATATAAACAAGGACAGATTTAAGATTCACTGAAACATTCATCAAAGCCACTCACATCCATCACCTTCCTTCCCTCAGTTGTTCATGGTAAGTTTCCATTTTACGACCCTCGTTACAGCTCTGAGTTAATTCGGTCAGGTGTCAAATTCAGACAAGCGGGATATTTGACCAGTTATGTCAAGTGTCCATTGCCCAAAGCTTGTCTTTCTTCAGAATCCACTGCAAGTAAGCAAGCGTCTCCTCTGGCCTCCTTCGGAAGATTTTGTTTGACATCTGAAGTGGCCCAGATCACAGGTGGAACAAACATACAGCACCCTCAGTTTAGAGGCTTGTCAACTATACCCCCACTAGGTGTGTCCATGGAGTAGAGGAGACCTCTTAAATCCTTTAAGTCCTCCCTCCCTTGTAACTCTCTTTTGCTACAGGATTCGAGCTTCCATTCAGGCAAGCCCAAACACCCCTCCTCTTTTCGCTTGCTACTTCCAGTTCACTCTGGAATTGTCTCCTTTTTATGCCTTCCCCACCTATCCAGTCCTTTCTCCCTTTGGACCCTCCTTTCCCTGTTTTTCTGCTCTCCTTCTCTGTCCACCTTTCATTCTCCGCCTCCTGGCCATTCTCATGACGTCAGCTGCAGTTTATATGCAGCAACGTCAACACCTTGCTCTTTCCCTACTTCTCAGCTGAGATGTAAGGTAAAGGTAAAGGGACCCCTGACCATTAGGTCCAGTCGTGACCGACTCTGGGGTTGCGGCGCTCATCTCGCTTTACTGGCTGAGGGAGCTGGCGTTTGTCCACAGACAGCTTCCGGGTCATGTGGCCAGCATGACTAAGCCACTTCTGGCGAACCAGAGCAGCGCATGAAAACGCTGTTTACCTTCCCGCCGGAGTGGTACCTATTTATCTACTTGCACTTTGACGTGCTTTCGAACTGCTAGGTTGGCAGGAGCAGGGACCGAGCAACAGGAGCTCACCCCATCACGGGGATTTGAACCGCCAACCTTCTGATCGGCAAGTCCTAGGCTCTGTGGTTTAACCCACAGCGCCACCCGTGTCCCCAGCTGAGATGTAGTGTGCCTCTAAGCTATTTCCTGGCGGGCATGTGAGCTCTGAACAGCTGCCTCCTCTTCAGGAGCTCGCAGCCGGCCAGAACCAGTCCGCTTGCCCCCACGGCTGGAGCCTGACAATCCAATCAGCCTTAGTCGGTGGAAGAAGATTGGAAAAAGTTTAAAGTCTACTTACAGAAATACTGTAAAATTAATGAATGTTAGAATGATGTTGGATAAGAAGTTAAGTGGTTTTTAGCTATAATGCTATAAGGAATATGAAAAAATGGATTATTAATAGGTAAAAATTTAAGGTTACAATATTTTAAGATTAAAGATTAGGATAAACAAAGAGGGAAAGGATTTGCTGAATTAACAAATTGAATTGGAATACAAAAAAGGGAGGTGTGAGGAGGTCCGGGAAACAAGCAAATGAAAGATAAGTAATGGAAAGATGGAATTGTTTTTAACTATTTTTATTTTGTATTTTTCTTTTTTCTTTTTTCATTTTGTAATACTTTGAAAATCTTAATAAATATCTTTAAAAAAAAAAAGACAATCCAATCAGCTTTCTCCCAGCTGACAATGTCATTTAGAACTTTTTCTGAAGCGTATGTCAAGGCACCCCCCCCCTCTGGTACGAAAAAAAGTGAATGGCAAATTTACAGAGCAACATTTTTTATTATATTCAAGATTCATTATGATAAACCAACCCTTTTCACAGCTCCTTCACCAATGCGTTTCAGTTTGCGGACTTCTCTTTTCAGTGTTTCACACGACAACCATGGTGAGCAGTTCTTCACTGTTCCTAATCTGAAGTAACCGTGTTGACAAGAGTCGTGTTCAACGTCGGCCTGTCCATAGGAAGGATATACGTAGTTGAAATATTGATAGAGCAGCAAGTTCACAAGCAGCACAGCCAAAATCAGATACAAGACGGGAGGGATCAGCTTTTGCGTAAGATCAGTTTTCGTATCACACGATTTTTTCTCCATGTTGTAACAGTCATCTTTCAGATTTTCTGCAAGACATTAGAGTTATAAATTGTTACTTTCATTTAGCAATTTTGGGGGAGGGGCAGCTGAGATACACTTCTTGAGAGGGTGGAGAGATTTCAACACAGTCAAACTCTCCCAACTTTACATAGCAATCCTACAAACAGGCATTAAACATGAACCATGCTACTAGCAGATTCATAGCTCTGCTAACCATTGTGATGGTTTCCTAGCATAGATTGAGATCCAGCAAACAGCTTTACAGACATGGAAAGAGAAAGCATGCAGTGGCCAATATGATGAGGATATAGGAAATGTCTAATAATAATAATAATAAATTTTATTTATACCCCGCCCTCCCCAGCCAAGGCTGAGCTCAGGGCGGCTAACAACCAATAATAAAAACAACTTAAATGAATACAACTTAAAAACAAGATTAAAATACAACATTAAAACATTAAACAATTAAAATGCAGCCTCATCACAGGAGGAGAAAGGAAAAAGAAAGAGGGGGAGGGAATCAAATTGACTCGAAGCCAAAGGCCAGGCGGAACAACTCTGTCTTACAGGCCCTGCGGAAAGAAATCAGATCCTGCAGGGCCCTGGTCGCATGAGGCAGAGCGTTCCACCAGGCCGGAGCCAGTGTTGAAAAGGCCCTCGTCTTTTCAGGGATTGCCATTAGGACCAGTAAGTGTTTGGACCAAAAATACTGGTAATTTAAGAATCATATGTTTTCACAAAAGCACTTGCTAATAGACAATTTTGTGGGCCCCTGATGAAAACCAGTTACTCATCATGGGTACCATTCATTAATTTCAATGTGGGAGCTCTACGGGGCAATCATATACCTGTATACTCAGAAGGAAGATCAATGGAGTTCAGCAGGCATTATTTCTAATAAGTTCGCAGAGAACTGCAGCCTTAAGCCTGTAACTAACTCTCCCTCTGAAAATAAAGAGACTTAGAATGTTTTTTTAATTGGTATACAGCAATTGTAGGGGAAATAATAATAATAATAATTATTATTATTATTATTATTATTATTATTTATTATTTATACCCCGCCCATCCAGCTGGGCTTCCCCAGCCACACTGGGCGGCTTCCAACCAAATATTAAAATACAGTAACTATAGGTGGAAGGCAAAACATCTATAAAATGAACACAACATAGTATCTTATTAATTTTTTATAACACCCTTCATCCAAAATTTGTTGGGCAGTTCACAACATAAAAATACAAAATGAGAACCCAAAGTACATAATAAAAACAAAAAGAAACAAATAATTCACATCCCACAAACACATTTAAAATTATATAGAATGTTACATCAGCCTGGTTAAAGAAAAACATTTTCACCCGGCGCCTAAAGATATGTAATGAAGGCACCAAGCGAGCCTCCCTGGGGAGAGAGAATTCCACAAATGGGAAGCCCGTTCTCATGTTACTAGACTCAGGACCTCTTGTGGAGGTGGTACACGAAGAAGAACCTCAGGTCTGGGTTGGTTCATACAGAACTAAATGCCTCAGTTATGTTGAAAACATTGTACTTTTTACTAACCAAGTCCCCCCAAAGATCTCTCTCACACACATAACTATATACACACACTAAAATTTTGCAATTAAAATGGGTGTATGGTTTTTCTTTATAGCTTTTACTTTAATCAGCTTTAAAAAAAATCTAATACAGTAGCTCATATTTAAACACAAGTAATGTATCATGTGTGATAATCAATTTAATACAGAATAACTACTAAATAAGAAAGTATTTATAATATAATTTTAAAAATGAATATTAAAAAATTCCACAGTACTCTTCTGATAAATTTCCTTTTTCTAAATCAAAGACTGTTTTGCTTTCTCCTTATTCTCCACTTATGTGTAATTATTGATACTGAAATAACAAAACTAAAGGAGGCATAAATTAACTCCCACAATTATATCTTATGCTTTGTAATATTAGAAATAGCCTTGCACCTCAAAATGTGCAAGTGAGTGTGTAAATCCTGAATTTATCCCAGCAGCCTCATTTTTTGCCTGAGTGTTCTAGCTAGATTTTCAGCCACGTAGCATGGCAAAAAGTCACAGCCTTAAACTAACGGAAACAGTAAAACACAAGGAATGTATTTTCAGATTTTCTAATTCAGTGTTTTAACAAGCTTTTGGGAACTGACACTTTTAATGAAAGAGCTGGTGCCACATTCGGTTTGTGTTTTTTTTTGTAATTATCTGTATGCTTTTATATATAGTTTTTATTATACCAGTGTTTAATTATTTTTAATGATTCCCCCCACTCTGTTCTTATTTTTATCTGTAAGCCGCCTTGAGTCCATTAGAGGGGAAAGGGTATAAATAAATGTATAACAACAACAACAACTGAACATTTGTTTAAAGTATTGCAGGCTTTTTCATTCATGTCTTGATTATAGGAAGCCCGTCTTCTCATAGATCAATTAGCAGGCATAGACAAACTCCGGCCCTCCAGATGTTTGAGACTACAATTCCCATCATCCCTAGCTAACAGGACCAGTGGTCAGGGATGATGGGAATTGTAGTCCCAAACATCTGGAGGGCCGGAGTTTGCCTATGCCTGGAATAAGGTTAAAATTTGGATTACTTCCAAACAAAGAGGAAGCAGCAGATCCAGCCAGGAGAAAAAGACTGAAAATCGTTTCAAGATTTCAGCATCACCTCGCAATAATTTCTGCTATCCAGCAGCAACCTCGGTTGCGCCTAACTCTGCAGCTTGCTGCTCAAAGAAACGACGCTTACCTTACCCTGGGATATTGTGCATCACTCTCATCAGCTGGCAGCCGCCATGACAGTGCCAACACCACCTGACATGAGTCACGTGACGCGTTCCCTGTTTTGCACATAGAGATAATAGGGTAGAGTTGAATTTGGAATCGTCAGTTCACAGCCTCGGGAAAGGGCAAAGCTAAACAGATTGAGTTGAATAGGGAAGAAATTGTGCTTGCATTTAACAATTGCTGCTGGTGCCCTAACACCCTAAGGGCAGTGAGGGAAATAACAAGGTTTACATTGGCTGCAACCTGAGATGTGCTTTTAATTAAGTGTATTTTGCCTGATTTCTGGGGTGAGCTCCCGTTGCTCGGTCCCTGCTCCTGCCAACCTAGCAGTTCGAAAGCACGTTAAAGTGCAAGTAGATAAATAGGTACCGCTCCAGCGGGAAGGTAAACGGTGTTTCCGTGCGCTGCTCTGGTTTTGGCAGAAGCGCCTCAGTCATGCTGGCCACAAGACCCAGAAAAACTGTCTGCGGACAAACGTCGGCTTCCTCGGCCAGTAAAGCGAGATGAGCGCTGCAACCCCAGAGTCGTTCGCAACTGGACTTAACTGTCAGGGGTCCTTTACCTTTTTAAACATGTGAGCAGTGAAGTGAAATGGATTCACTTGACATTCAACTGTGTTTTGTTTTATTGATAGTTTTCTGCAGGCTGCATAGTATTAAGGTAAAGGGACCCCTGACCATTAGGTCCAGTTGTGACCGACTCTGGGGTTGCGGCGCTTATCTCGCTTTACTGGCCGAGGGAGCCGGCGTACAGCTTCCGGGTAATGTGGCCAGCATGACTAAGCCGCTTCTGGCGAAACCAGAGCAGTGCACGGAAACACCGTTTACCTTCCCGCCAGAGCGGTACCTATTTATCTACTTGCACTGGCATGCTTTCGAACTGCTAGGTTGGCAGGAGCAAGGACCGAGCAATGGGAGCTCACCCCGTCGTGGGGATTCAAACCCCCGACCTTCTGATTAGCAAGCCCTAGGCTCTGTGGTTTAGACCACAGCACCACCCACGTCAGTAGAAATGTGCATCTGCAGCCCTTTATTTTGCCAATATAGATCAAATCAGTGCACTTCCAGATACTAGCTTATTGAGAAATTGTTTCTGCTCATGCAAGTTGTTTGCAGGACTCACACGACACCATTGAAATGCTTGTTCATACTTTTATAAATTTGCAGTCTCTGCTGCTGTGGAATCTCTTTGGTGCATTTCTTTATTTGACAGGCAGTTTGTCATGTGTGGCGACATTCTGATAGATGTAGCTTCTTTCAGACTTCTACTTCAGTTTGCTCCTCACTTGAGCACAACTTAGGCATTTTGTTTCTGCCAGTGGCCCAAATAATACAAGTGTGCCCATTTACACCAACTCAGAGGAAACTCAAATCAAAAATTAGCGGGAAAATGGGATGTTTATAAAAAATATGTTCAAAAATACAATAATAGTTTTGACTCCGTGCTAGCATTCGAGTGATAAAGGAACTAAAAGGAGGTGGACTACAATTAAGGATTTATTATGTTTTCAGAGGGACGCGGGTGGCGCTGTGGGTAAAAGCCTCAGCGCCTAGGGCTTGCCGATCGAAAGGTCGGCAGTTCGAATCCCCGCGGCGGGGTGCGCTCCCGTTGCTCGGTCCCAGCGCCTGCCAACCTAGCAGTTCGAAAGCAAGTAGATAAATAGGGACCGCTTACTAGCGGGAAGGTAAACGGCGTTTCCGGGTGCGGCTCTGGCTCGCCAGATGCAGCTTGTCACGCTGGCCACGTGACCCGGAAGTGTCTGCGGACAGCGCTGGCCCCCGGCCTCTTGAGTGAGATGGGCGCACAACCCCAGAGTCTGTCAAGACTGGCCTGTACGGGCAGGGGTACCTTTACCTTTACCTTTATGTTTTCATAATGTATTAGAAAAATTATATAGAAAGATTTATTGTTTTGTGCACATTTGAATGTAAGATAAAACATATGCAAAGGGACTTGACAGGAAGTCAAAGTTGAAGAAAAGATTCTGGAAGATAAAAGGGGAAAAATATTTACTTTCATTATTATCATTTTCTGTGCGGGTGTGTGGGTGGTCTGCACATATGTGTGTTGTTGTATGCAATGTTTCGGAGGAAATAAGACGGTAAATAACAAATAACAAACTAAATATTGATGTATGTAATTTTTTATTTCTTAATTATATTTAGTGGTAGTATGGCTGTATTGTTTTTTGTAACATAAAACTTCAATAAAAATCATTTTTTTAAAAAAAAACCTTGTCAACGGCATGTTGGAATGTCAGCAACTTAGAAACTAAATTCAGTACATACATCTGACTGTGGGAAAAACAGTCTTATGCAAGGCCTTTCTGTCATTCTTTTGCAAGCCTTACTCAGGCAAATATACAGTAACACTTGTGCAAGACTTCAGTATTTTTTTTTTAATGGAAATTAATAATGTCCCTGGACCCGCAAGAAGGAAGAAAGAATAAAAAACAAGCTTCTGTTTTGTCCGATGTAAACATGTACACTTCCTGGACATTTTTTAAAAAAGGAACACACAGAGAAATATCTGCATGCAATTTCCAGAGAAGCAAAAGACAGTGGAGAGTGTGGGAGTGTGAACAGCAAGCAGTGGATTAGCAATAAATAACCATGACTGAAAAAAGGGGAATGTGTGGAAGCCAATGTGCCAAACACACAAAGAGAAAAATAGGATCTGAATGGTTCGTTCACAATATTATTACAGTGGTGCCTTGCGAGACGAAATTAATTCGTTCCGCGAGCTTTTTCGTCTTGTGATTTTTTCGTCTTGCGAAGCACGGTGTCGGAAAAGTTTTGGAAAAGCTTCAAAAATCACCAAAGTCTTCAAAAACCTCAAAAAAGGCTACCACACCGCGTGCTATGAGTTGCTCCTCGAAGTCAAGTCGCAACTGTATTAACGGTTTTAAGAAAAAGGAAACAAACTTGCAAGACGTTTCCGTCTTGCAAAGCAAGCCCATAGGGAAAATCGGCTTGCGAAGCAGCTCAAAAAACAAAAAACCCTTTCGTCTTGCGAGTTTTCCGTCTTGCGAGGTATTCGTCTTGCGAGGTACCACTGTATAACAACATCAACAATAATAAATTTATTTTTTATACCTTGCCCATCTGCTTGGGTTTCTCCAGCCACTCTTGGCAGC